GTGGCCTGAATGGTGCTCTTCCCCATAAGATAGGGTTTTAATTTAGTTGGTAAGAGATTTCAATGTTCTGGGCTGTGAAATATGTTACACAGGCAATTTTTGAAAGGCAGCTGAAAATCCAGTATACTTTATTTCCAAGTATTTTCAGTGTTAATATAGTGTATTCACGTAAATGCTTGGCTAACAGATAAAAAGGAAACTGGTCACTGCCAGTCTTATGCAGTACATAAATGTATTGCATTTTTATGCAATATCCTGGCTCAGTCTATTATTCATGAATTCCTTTGAACAATCACAAATTGTACATATAGCATTTAAATCTGCTGAACTCCTGTTTCTGTTCTACATACTAATAAATAGCAGAACGTGAAAGTATTTCAAATTTTATCAGCCTGAGCTACAGAAACGTAAAGCAGAAAGCTCAAATGAATTTATAAATATGTTGCATTTCCCAAACAGTCAGAAAAAGATTGCAAGGGTATTGTTAGCCTAACTACTGTTTCACATATACCAACAAAAAGATTGTTATATTAAAAAAATCTCTAGATTATTTAAGAAATTAAAGCAGTAAATCCTTTTAATTTTTACTGAACCCCAGAAACAATTGGCTTTTCGAAAAGATGAAGGCAAAATAGACCGACCTCTCTACTGCAAGAATCCAGTTATAATATAAATTTTTTTAGTTCATCTTTAGATGTCAGTCATGATATTGAGTTGTTTCCTTATTGCTATTCATGTTTCTTTTGAAAGAGAAGTACATATTTGCAGTGTTAGGCAAAGGATCTCAAAATAGCAGATGTTTATACACATATTGCATATTCTGAGCAGTAAGCTTTTGATATATCAAAAAGTTATTCTCCTATAAGGTCTTTGGTGCTATCCAGCAAGCCTGGTGAACTAAAAAATGAGGCAGATTGGGGTTGCTAGCCATGTTTAACCAGCAAGCCTCTCAAAGGCAAGGAGGCCATCCAATCTGGTTATAGTTCAGTGATAAATACATGGTGAAATCTGGATAAAGGGTGTTAGTTGATTTATTGTTCACAGTGTCAAAACAGTGTGAGGCAGCCATAAACAAAGCAAACAGAATGCTGGGCTATATTGCTATTCAATATTTCTTGATACTTAATACAACGGTTTATGTTTTGTTTCAGGTTGTTTCAATCCATGGGGATATATTCTTGTTATGTTGCATGGTTCTGATATGTATACTGCCTTTCCTTACTCCACACGCCTAATAATAATCCCTCCAAAACCAAAAACAATAATAAATTGGTCATTTTCAATCTACGACTGTTTGTGGGACATTGCTGTGCGCAATTGGCTGCCGCGTTCGCCCACAAATATACAGTCAATTCACTTTACAGTGTGTTCTGTGAAGCGCTTTGGGACGTCCTCCCGATGTGAAAAGCGCTATATCAAATGCAAGGATTATTATTATTATTATTATTTATTTTGCTTTTATTAAATGTGGTGTCCACATTTCTGACTTTGGCACTCCAGTCGCTATAGTCATTATTAATTGGAAAAATGTTTTGAAACAAGGCAAAGTTACCTCTAAAAATCTCTCCACCACTGATCTCAAAAGACTCTTCTTGTTTTTTGATGATTTTTCTTTAGACAGGTTCAGCTCTTGGGGCAGCCTAAGCTAAAACGATTGAAATACTGTCCACTGAGGGTAGTGTGCTAAAACAAATATTCTGTCCATTGCAGTTTAAATTTTCTTCAGCGTTTTCCATTTTTAAATGCAAGGGTGTTTTCCAAAACAATATAGCTTATTTAAGTTACATATTTACATTCAGGCAAAGTTTGAACTTTTTTCATGTTTATTGACAACAATTCAATGTTTCTTTTAAGCAACAAAAATAATTTGAAACAATATGTTTTCATAATTAAATAGCAGATTTGGCAACAGTTGGTTTAATGTACATTTCTCTTCTACACTCAACAAAAATGGAAACAGAAGCATAGCTGTTGCTACCAATTCATATAACGCCGCAGAGACTATCAGTTTGAAAGTATCTTTCTGTTCAATACACTTTTATTTGTACACTGAGAAGCTCAACATAAGTGAACCAATTTTTTTTAAAAGAGAGTTAGAGACTATATATAAATACAGTGGATAAAGAGAGTGGGTGAAGCAGGCTTCGATTGCATAGGGGAATGGAGACATTGCCACAACAAGAGTATGCATATGTATATGACAATGACAAGTCCTTTTACTTATGTAATTAACCTATGAAAAAGAATACTGGTACCATTGTATAATTGATTGCAGTGCAGGAATATTTGGTGTTCATTGCATAATTAAAAGCATCCATAATTCACACATTACACAAGGTTAACGCAACCTTTAAATTAAACCCCAAGATACGTATACAGGTATAAAAGAAGTCATGATGCCTTTCTAGTTGGTTGTGTGATATAGCTGACAATTGCATATACTAGCCTCCCCTGCTGCTGGAAAGAAGCTGCATACTGAAAGATGGGATCTTCAGGAAATTAACAGGTTAGCTAAAGATTAAAAAAATGAAAAGTAAAACAAGTTCTCCCTAAATACTGAAAATTTACTGAAGAAACATGGGCATCAATTTATAAGCTCCATAACCACAGCACTGAGAGAAGTTCATCAACAGTTATATAGAAGGCTGGATTTCAATAAACTTCTATTTCTGACCTTTACTTCCATGATTAACAATCCCCAAATCGTAAACTGACTCTAGATGTTGGCTTTTTCGAAGTGTTTTCTGCAGTTGTGCAACTCCAATAGAAAAGTCAATACAACTGCTGGTTGAGGCTGGAAAGGTCAACCATTGTGCTTCTTGCAATTGTACAGCTTTGTGGTTGGTCATGACATTCTAAAACTACAGCAATTATTAAAACTGAATATGATATTGTACCAGAAGATGTGGGCAGAGCTCGAAACAATTAGCTGTGGCCACAACCCAGACCAGACTGCTCCAGCTAGATAGAGTATCACTGTAACGGCACAGATTTAAAAAATGTTCACAAAGCCAACTACAATCACAATTTCTTCATAACTTTATTAAGTTTCCAAGTTGACACATGCAGACCTCTTTTCAGCCTCAGCCAATGCCACTTGATTTAGCCACAAGGAGGTGTGGAATAGCAGCCAGGTGACAACTCTGATTGAGACTATTTTGAAGTCTTTGGCTTCCAGTAATAGATCCCTTCAGCTGTATGACCTGAGGATAGGAGGAGTGGTGGGCTCAAGATGTAAACCCAAAGTTCTGAGAGTCACACATCAAGACGCAATATGGAACACGACTGAATCATGAGGAAAGTTTATGTCTGTGAATAAAGTATCTCATATTAATATGGCAGCAAATAATAATAATCCTCACATTTGGTATAGCCCCTTATCATGTCGTGGAGACGTCTCAAAGAGCTTCAAAGGATTTTATTATGAAGTGTAGTGACTGTATTTGTAGTCAGAAGAATGCAACATTTCCTGGAGGTACAGCTATTGGGACATGTATGGTTGCAATAAAATTAAGTGCAATTTCTTATAAAAGGAATAGTCCAGGAAAATCTTTTAAAAATCATACTTGTCAAAAAATACTTCCCTCTATGCTTTGAATTATATTCAGAGTTCAGAGTGCACTCACTCAAAGAAAGGCTACCGAGTATGAAATGAGGTCAGAATACTGGACACTACCTTCTTACTCTCCTAACTTCATCTCCAATCCTGTTCAAATAAATGTGGGTAAGCACAATATGTTGGCATTACAAAGCATAGGCGATGGAGTGTCCATGGAAGGCTTGCTCACTGTCACTCTGCTAGAGGTCAACCTGAGCCTCATTGCTATGGCAAATACTGTTTTTTGTTCTTCTGTGAATTGACCCAGACCCATTTTGCGCATTCCATAGCATGCAGCTCAATTGTAAAGTTGACATTAACCTGGGACTTTCCAACGTTTCTTTCCTTTTTAACAAAGTTCTAAAGACTTTCACTATTCTCTGTCTCTTTGACACCTCCTTCTACTCTCTTCCACTAAATTTCTTTCAATTACTTTGACTTTTCCTCAACTTATCCAAATCTTAACCATCTCTGTAAAATACCTTTATCAATATACAACATGGAGCTCGCTGAATTCCCTTCTTCTTTGGTCAAGGGAAAGCGAGCCACTTCAATCATGTTTTCGCATTACTTTGATTTTTTTTGAAGAATGTGTTTTTTTGGGGGTTATTGTTTACTTTTGGGTTTCGGCCATCTCAAGTTTGATTTAGTCGGTGATAAGATTAATTGTCTGAGTGGGGCCATTTCTTATCTTTTAACTTGGGAGTATTTCGTTTTTAATTCTATTATATAATAACCACAATAATAACAATAACAATAATAACGTGCTTTAAGAAAATAAACCAAATTAATGCAAATGCTTAGTTGCTTCATCAGGACTCATGGTTGACCCCCCTCCCCCCCCCACCCACACACACAAAAAAAAGTATTTTAAGACGTTGCTGCATGACAAGCACTAACAGATGCGAGGTTTGTGTGTACGTGTCAGACATTTGCAACACTGGCTAATGATGTCCCTCTGTGCACAACCCTAACCCAGAGGCAAGGGATGCTCCATCTTCTCAATGAGCTTTGATCTCATCAGCAGGAGCCAGGGCGGGGCAAGCGCGGCGCGCACGGCATGCTGGTAGCTGTAGTTCTCCCCGGGGTCTCCGCTCCCGCTCCTCGGGAGCTGTGACGACGGAGGAGGGACTACAGATCCCGGGCGGCGTTGCGCGGAGGCGGCGGCGGAGAGCCGAGCTGCGGACGTGCGGAGAGGAGGGCGGTGAATGAACGAGCGGTCGGGTTGGGGGCGGCGGCGGCGGTGGTGGTGGTGGAGGAGGAGTGGGGGGTGGGGGGGTGTGAATTCGGTATCGTTACACCTACCCGCCCAGGGCCCTCGTATTCCTCTCCCCCGAGGCCGTATAACTCCATGAGCTGCTGTATGTGAGCGAGAGAGAGAGAGAGGGGGGGAGAGCGCCGGCGGGTGGGGAGGGGTCGGCGTTGCTGTGCGGGGAAGGGGAGAGAGGCGGACGATGCCTCTGGACAACATGGCCTCTCTGATTCAGAAGGTGGCCAACCAGGCCCGCACCACGTTTAAAGCGGCCGCGCCGCTCTCGCTGGGGGACCGGGTGACCTTCCACGAGAACCTGGCCAACCTGAAGGGGCTGCTGGGCGAGGTGCGGGCCGAGGACCTGAACATCCGGCCCAGGAGGAGCGCCGACTCGCCGCCCGTCGCCCCCCGGCAGCGGCAGAGCCGCCCTCCGGTCACGTACATGCACATCTCCGAGACCGAGGGCTTCAGTATGGGGGTCTTCCTGCTGGACGGCGGCACCTGCATCCCGCTGCACGACCACCCGGGCATGCACGGCCTGCTCAAGGTCATCTACGGCAAAGTGCAGATCCAGTGCTTCGACCGGCTGGAGAAAGGCGACGGGCCCGGGGCGGCCAGCGGCCTGGAGTTCAGCTCCCCGCTCCCGCAGGGCCAGCGGGAGGCGCTCAGGGGCTCGGTGCTGCGCTCCAGCCATCAGTTCGACGAAGCCCACGGAGCGTGCGTGCTGAGCCCCGACCGGGACAACTTGCACGAGATCAGCGCCGTGGACGGCCCCGCCGCCTTCCTGGACGTTTTGGCGCCTCCTTACTGCTCCGCCGAGGGGAGGGACTGCCACTATTACCGGGTGCTGGAGGTGTCCGGGAGCGGGGGCAAAGCGGGCCCCGAGCCGGCGCAGCCCCCGCGCCACGTTTGGCTGCTGGAGGTGCCGCAACCCGTCGACTTCTGGTGCGATGCCGAACCTTATCCCGGTCCCCCGGTGGCCCTCTGAGAAACGTGGGACCAGAGGCATGTTTCAGTGTTCATGTTTTTTTTTCCCCACCCGTTCCTGCATTGTTGTCACTGTAACGCTCTCGCAGATGTGTTTACCATTAGTATCTTATCGGTTGAAGTCCGAACGTACCGGAGTGATCGGCCACTGGTTCGACTCTGGGACGTTTGGTTTCGAGTGCAGATGAAAATGTGCGATTAAGCAAACTATTATACGTACGGTATTCAATTATTCAATCGGGAGAGATTCCCTTTCTTTCCGGTCCTGATGTGTTCCTTGTGGTTTAGCACTTATTCGGATCCCACCCGCAAATATTTCCAGTATTTGTGAGACCTTGTCACTTGTCTAATTTAAGATGCTACTATTTTGTTCCAACAGAAATGCACACTTTATAACGTCTTTTAAGTCGAAGTGAATTTATTCAAATGTATGTTTCATTTTATCAATTATATTTCATAATAAAAATGTTAAAATGAAAGCATGCAGATTGTTTTCATAGTGTGACACATAGTACTAATGGCCACATATGCAGTATATGTTTTAGTTTTGCTCTTTAGCCTGTGTCCAGAAAGGCTTTTTTTTAAGGTAGTTACTCTCAACAACAACAAATTACATTTGTATAGCACCTGTCATGTCAGAAAGACATAACTGGTTATCGTATTATTTGCCATTTTTAGTTTGCAATTAAATAATTTGTAAACACCTATTGAATCTGATGCTGTTTTCACTACAATCTTGCATTTGATAGCCTTATTGTCGAAACATCTCAAAGCACTTCAGAGTTTCTTCTGTACAGTAATTATTTGTAGGCGAGCACTGCAGCCAATTGGCACACAACATTGCCCTACAAACAGCACTGAAGTGGATGACCAATCACAACACCGAATGCATTCATGAATTTGGAATAGATTCCAAAAAAGTCCAGAATATCCTAAAATTCCTATTACTCCTGTGAGTATTGTAGATGTTTTGGAATGTACCAAATCATCAGTACCTTGTTTACGTGGAAGCTTACAGTGGCTTCATTCAATGACAGGGCGAAATATTAGCCACGTTTCCTTACTCCATACGCCTCTGTTTACCTTGCAATAAGTAGGAACCGATTTGTTAGTCGATAGGCGAAGCACTTTTCCAGGGATAATAATCCCTTCAAAAAAATTAACAATAATGTGGTCACTTAATTCATGACTGTGGGACACTGCACTGCATAATTGGCTGCAACGTTTTGCCCACAAAATATACAGTCAATTCACTTTACAGTATATCCTGTGAAGCAGTTTGAGTTGTCTCGAAGATGTGATGAGGTACTATATCAAATGCAAGGATTATTTTTATTACATTTCAACAAGTTAGTCCAACTTGTTATTTTTTGTGTATGGTCAATGTGGTTGCTACCATAATGCAAAGCAGAAATATGTGATAAAATTAATATCCATGTAAATAGATTACCAAGTTTCACACAAGATCTGGCTATAAATTATTTTTCCAGTACCCACAAAACAGCACGTATCCCAAACCACCATGTAGGCTGAGTGCTAGATACCCACCTGATCTTTGTTGTCATATCTAAAGATATGAAGTAACTTTCAATTTTATTGTGTGAATAGAATTTTACCAGAAATATGCTTGCTAAATTTGGAAGACTGCATTAGGGTTTGGTAGTCAAGCAGGTATGTAGCCAGAAATCTTAAGTATCAAAGAAAGAATAACTCGAAAGGTTAAAAGGAAGTGTAAACTTTCTGACATTAAGGTAAATAAATGTGGTCAATCACCCACAGTAGGGAAATTCATAAGCATTACATCTGATAATGTTAATCATTGTTAGATGCTAATTGGATGCTGTTTGCACGAGATGTGGTAAAAGGCTCTGCATATTACAAGTTTCTATTGGACTTTAATGTAAACTAAGCTGTACACGTGGCTCTGAATCAATGTAGGATAAGGCTGTCACGGAACACTGATGTAGATTTGTGTAAACTCATTATCCAAAATGAGGCAAACCTGTTTCAGATTAGTTTACACAACAACAACAAATTACATTTGTACAGTACCTTTCATGTCAGGAGGATCTCCCAAGCCGCTGGACAGTCAGGGATTTGGACCCGAACAGGGGGTTGGGACCAGGAGGGATGGAGGGTAGCGATAGGCGGGTGGCTGAAGACGCGGTCGAAGAGGAAAGTCTTAAAGGAGGTAAGGGAGGGAGCAAGGCGAAGGGCCTGGGATGAAGTTCCAAAGTGTGAGGGCAGAGAGACTGAAGGCAGACCGCTGATGGTGTGGTGGGCCGGGCAGAGACTGCTGAGCGGAGGGAAAGGACGGGTTGATGCAAATGTTAAATAAGGCATAGATCTAACATCAAGGTTTTGAAAATAAATTCATAGAATTATACAGCACAGAAGGAGGCCATTTGGCCCATCATGTCTGTGCCGGCTCTTTGAAAAGATCTGTCTAATTCAATCCTACTTCTCCACTCTCATAGAATGGTAAGCTCATACCATTGATCATACCATATGATCATTTATGATCGTAGAATCATAAATTAATGGTTAAATAAACGTTTGTATATAATCAGTAAATGCAATGCAGTGTGAATGAATCGCAGCCAGCATCTTTACTGTCAGTTGCAAAAAAAAAGTTATTGCACACGGAATTTAAGCTATGGGTTAAATTCTAGCTAATAAATGTAAGATTGATATTTAGGTAAAATAAACTTTTACTGTCAGTAAATACACTTTGGACAGGTATCGGAGCTGAGCCTGACTTCTCACTATCCGGCTGCCACAAAAGCATGTAATCAGTAGAGGGTGCTGTAGAGGCATCGGGAGCAGAATCCTGACTGGCTTTTACCTTCCTAACCCTGGAAGACTGAACTGAATTTAACCTGCCCACGTAAACCTGGCTGAGACCAGCAAACGCAGCAAGTTTGTGGTCCACAAGGTGCAGCTCTATCTACTATAACACCAGGACTGTCCCAAAATGAGCTTACAAACTATAAATTGCTGAAACAGCTTATACCGTTGGTGGTGTCCACCAATGGAAATCCTGATGTGCTATGTTAGACTATAACTATTTCTAACTGGTACAGAAAGATTAATCTCAATAGGTGTTATTCAAAAAAATTCTGATCAGCTTTATGTATGCCAGATCCATCAGTAGGTTAAACATTTTAATTGCAATCAATAGACTACACTGGGTAATGTAGCTGTTTAGAGTCGTGATCTGTATCAATTTTAGTCAGTTGCATTGTTTAATGCATAAATATGGCTTGGTATTCATTTGGCAATCTAGTTAACATGCAACATATTAGAGTTGTCATGTGTAACAATTGCATTGACTATATTCAAATACATATCCAATTTGTTAAATAAATCATTGTGCAAATCCACTGCACAATTATACTTTTTATATAAAACACATATTCCATTGTAATATTCTGCAATTGCAATAATTAAATTCTCTCCCCCATAATTCTTGTTTACGGCTATAATTCAGTAGTGCATTATAGGTAATAATCTTATGAAAGGGAAAGATTTGATAAACAAGTATTTCAAAGGTATATACAGGCTGCAGACATAAGTACATTCTGAACTTATTGGAACTCATTTATTTATGTTTTACAAGTATAATACAAATATAAATTTGAGTTGTGTGCAAACCACACAGTCATTTCAGCCTTATTAATGAGACATTCAGGCCACCCAGAGTAGTTTAATGTTGATAATCGTAATTAGGTAAGTCCGTAAAAAAAAATCAATGTAAGAATAGGGAATGTTAGAAATCTGCATTAGATCAATGCAGGGAGAAAGAGTTAAGATGTCATGTTTGACCCTTTATCAGAATTTGTCACAGAAGACAAGAGCGGAAAGGCAAAAATGCTTGTGAAGACGAGATGGACAAGTAAAAATTTTCACTAAGAAATTTAACTGAACTTCAGAGTTGGCATTCTTGGAAGAGATGTGGCAGTGAATAAATCAGAATAGTTACTGGTTGATGTGTTGTGCATTTTCTGGTTTTATTACAGATTTCAAAGTTTAGATGGGCCAGTTGAGTTTTTTCTAAACTTTACACGTGACAGTCAAATCTGTTCAAGCAAGCACTTCCATTCAGCAACCATCCCCTGTTAACAACAGCTTGGTTTGCATACCAACGATCCCTTACTCAGAGGCCACCATTCTATAAAGGCCACTTTTGCCCAGTTCCGTGAGTGGTTGTTGAAGACAAATTTGATTGTAGTTATGACTTATATGCAATAATACTTCTTACTGCGATCAATGTGGAGGCAATTCGCTCTTAAAAGTTAGAATTGTTAATATCTACCAGACAAAAACTTAGCCTTATGTTCAATTTATTTTTGAGGTTTTTATGATTTCAAATACTTTAAAATGGTATCTTTGGCTGCTAAAGAGCAAAATGAGCTATCTGTTCAACTTAATTTTTTCTTGAGTTTCTTGAGCTCAACCCAGGTCTTAAGCCCATAAACCCTACATTTTCCCACCACTTGAGTACTTAATTTGGTAATAAATACTGCATTAAGTTAAATAATAAATAATCCTAGCAATGATAATAGTGCCTTTCAAGTTGGGAGGATCTCTCAAAGTGCTTCATAAGATTTATGTGAAGGGTGGTGACTTTATTTTCTAGATGAATTGTTAAATTCTTAAGGAATGAATTATAAGCTGTGTCCCCCAGGGATCGGTATTGGGACCACTGCTCTTTCTAATATATATTAATGATCTGGACTTGGGGATAGAGAGCACTATTTCCAAGTTTGCAGATGATACAAAGTTAGGTAGGGTAGTAAATAGCGAGGAGGATTGTAACCAACTGCAAGCAGACATACACAGAATGGTGGAATGGGCTGACATGTGGCAGATGGATTTCAATGTAGATAAGTGTGAGGTGATACACTGAGGTAGGAAAAATGATAGGAGGCAATATAGACTTGGTAGCTCAATCTTAACGGGGGTAAGCATACAGAGAGATCTGGGTGTTCAAGTAAGCGAATCATTAAAGGTAGCGGGGCAGGTAGATAAGGCAGTAAAAAAGGCATTTGGTGTACTGAGCTTTATTAGTAGGGGCGTAGAGTATAAGAGTAGGGAGGTTATGGTTAATCTGTACAAAACACTGGTTAGGCCTCAACTGGAGTACTGCATCCAGTTCTGGGCACCTTACTTCAGGAAGGACATTAAGGCACTGGAAAGGGTGCAGAGGAGATTCACGAGAATGCTACCAGGAATGGGGAACCTTAGCTATGAGGACAGAATGGAGAAGTTAGGACTTTTCCCATTAGAGCAGAGAAGGTTATGCGGGCACCTGATAGAGGTCTTCAAGATCATGAAGGGTTTCGACAGGCGAGATAAGGAAAAGCTGTTTCCGCTGGTAAGTGTGTCTGTGACCCGTGGTCACAGTTTTAAGATATCTACCAAGAGAAGCAGAGGGGAGGTTAGAAGAAATGTTTTCACTCAGCGAGTTGTTCAAATTTGGAATGATCTGCCTGAAATGGTAGTGAAGTCCAATTCGATAACAGCTTTTAAGAGAGAACTGGATAAGTATCTGGGGAAGACGGGTTTGCGGGGTTATGGGGAGAAAGCTGGTGATTGGGGTTAGTGAAAGTGACTTGCTCTGTCAAAAAGCCGGCACAGACTCGATGGGCCGAATGGCCTCCTTCTGTGCCGTAACATTTTATGAATCTATGAATCTATAATGCAATTTGTTCTGGGAAGTGAAAATCCTAGGTCACTGGCTATTTTTCGTTTAGTTTTGTTAGTGTTTAGTGTGAAGACTTTTATTACTATGTTTACATGCCTCATTAATGGATTAAGTTGTAAATAGTATTGAGATACTTAGTCACTCAATAAATAGTTTTCAGTGATACTATTGCAGTGCATGGAAAGTTTCTACACTACCCATTTAATATAATTGTTCTGGAGGGTGAAATTGATAAACTATTAATGACAAGTTTGCATCAGGTTGGTTTGCCTGAGATAGACATTGCAACTGGATTTTATATGGAGGTTCTGTGTGGTAGAGTACATTCGAATTGTCTGATTTGGCATATGGTGAGATAGGAATCTCACTCGAGCTATGGGGATAGATAGTGGACAACTGCGAGGTAATGAATATACATCAGATATACTATACTGTTCCCCTGTGTTGTATGCACACCTAATAGCGTGATATAGATTGACATATGTCACCAGCTGCTTTCTGTTTGGACATCGATCAGAATGCGAGAGGAAGGAAATAAGCTTTTTTTCCAAAACAAAATTTACGTTTATGGCCTTTTTTTTCAAAGTAAAGGGAAGTGTGATTTTCTGAATGACCATCAGAAAATCCAAGTGATCAAGCTCTGAGCTACTGAAAGCCATTATCTTTTTGTTTAGAGAGTATCTGGGGTTTCCAGGTGTGATCTTTTTTCAAACTTCTAATCTTCAAACAAGAGGGCGTAAATTTTTCTTCGTAATACTCGTGTGCTTTCTGATTTACTTCATCAGAATGAAACAGATTTTGTATTTCATTTGAAATAATGAAAGTACCTTACCATGAAAAACATTTTATACACAGTATATTTGATAGATTCTACAATAACCAGCAGGTTGTGGGATTTCAGAGCAAAATTTGATTACAGAACAATAGACTAGTCTTGAGAAGTTCATACTACAATGTACAGTATAATATGTATCACATCAGAAAAGATACATTTGGTTTTGTGTTGCGTGATTGATCAGGATGAAAGAATTGTAACTCTTGAGGGCTACTGGCAGGAGTGAGTTTTAAAATATTTTTCTCTTGAGTGAACAGGAATGTATTACATACATTGTATATGTATGGATAGATGGATTTTGAAGTTACTTTAAAGTACTTAGTCCTCGATGCTTTTTAATTCAAGTAGCTAATGGATACTATGCTGCACAGGGTACAGGTCCAGCCAAGGGTACTGACTGACTGTTGAAGCCTATGAATGTCAACCAAAGTAGCAAGATAACTAATTACAACTCAAGCTTCTGCTGATATTCATAAGTTCCAACAGTCGATCAGAAACTCTGGATTGAACTGCACCTTCATAGTATCTATTCTATGTATTAGACACATGAAGACCACCTAGGAATAACAGTGAGTAACCTCAAAATCGCTCCTGCATCTTGCTTGACTACCTTAGGAAGTGGTGAAGGAAATTTTCTGGATAAATCATTTTCCCAAATTGGCCATTTTCTGTTGTTTTTTTCCCACCTTCAAGTAGACAGCATCAGAAGAGATGTATAGATGATTATGTAAGTAGGGGATTCACTAGGGCCCAGTCTTAATAAGCAGTGAGTGGACTCCTTTTAAATAAAAAGCTCTTACATATCTATGTTTCTCTGAATCTATTGAAGTATTTCTAACCCATTTCATTTTCTCTGGCTTTCTAGGTCTTCACATACCACCAACCAACCCATTCACTGTGGTTCTGCCAATTCCACTTTGAACAGGCCATTAAAATATACCTTGGACTGGCCAGATTTATCCTGTCAGGTTTCTGTGAAGTAGGAGCTGAGCCCTGTCCAACACATTTCTGATTATTAAGCTGAGATCTGGAATTCACAGTATGAATAATATCAGGTATTAATCCACACCCTGCCACTGCCAGAGCACCAAGATGCACCACTGCTTCAATTTCTTATGATACAAATCACATTTCACTTGTCAAGTAATTCATTTATTCTAACCGGTGAACTAAAATAAAAATAATCCTTGCATTTGGTATAGCACCTAATCACATTGTTGAGACATCTCAAAGCACTTCACAGGATCCACTGTAAACTGGATTGACTGTATTTTGTGGGCAACAAAAAACGAAACATATATCTAATAGTTAAACTTCATTTTTTGGATCCTTCTTAAGTGCTTTGAGCCGTCCTCCCAGTGTAAAAGCCGCTATTTAAATGTAAATCCTATTTACACTATGACCTTATTAGTGACTTCTCCATTTAAGCTTTAGATTTGCAGGCTGGAGAGAAACTGAGACTTTTACTTCTGGTGTACTTCAGCAACAAAGTCGTGGTAAACAATGATGTAAATATAATGCGCCAAATCAAGAATTTCAAGTATCCCAATAAGCAACTGTCGATATCAGAGTGGTGTATTTCTAGGCCTGTTATTTACTTGCATTTGTTACTGATCCACAACAACTTATACTGGTATCTGTGACTGTGCTAATTGCCAGACAACATTCCTCAGCACGGTTACAGCAAATTACAGCCAACTTGTTGCTGAAGGAATGGTTTGAAATTACTACAAACACCTACAACATTATTGAACTGTGAAATATTCATTTTCTTCTCCCTGGGGGTGATTGTACAGCGTGTGGTAACCCCAAAGTATTGCAATGAAACATGTACTCACTGTTGATATAACTGTAATTATACAGTATTCCGATTGTTTGATCTCACAAAAGATTGCATTCTACGTATTATTGAACGCTGTTGAAATACTGAGCACCCAACACTGTCCAGCGCCTTGGGATTGTCCTCCCGACGTGAAAAAGCGCTATACAAATGTAATTTGTATTGTATTGTCGCTTAACTTGTTTGTGGGGGTGTCAATTTTAATAAATACATTATCTTAAAATTCATTTTAACGTCTCGAGTGGGTTCGTTTCAACACAATTCTCACCTTATTCGAGAGTGCATTACTTTTTTTTTCAAAAAAGTTTTCAAAGAAGCATGGTTTTATGTAGCGCCTTTGAACTTTCATTTTTATTACTTTCATTCTGATAAAATAACTGCGTCCGAAGCAAAACAGAAATTCAAGTCGCAATTGTCAGGAAACATAGTATTTCACCATCTGTTTCATCGCCATTTGGGCAAAAAAAAGGTGTGCGGTTAATAGATGCATCGTCTATATCGCCGTCAATAACTAATTTATGCGAATGGCGATGAATGGGAGAATGGGGCACTATCAAAGCGCCAGCGAGGGTTTGATTCCTGTGGCTTTCTCCTGTGCTGAAAAACACATATTCTGACCTTGCATCTGCTGAAAATAAAATCCACCACAAATTCAATGCTGTTTATGATACCACCAGAAAGAATCCTGGGATGCTATTACTGTAATTGTCCTTATTAACCATATCTCAAAACGGCCAGCGGTGGACTTGAGATGAATACTTTCAAAACTGCTCTTTTAATTATTCGTGTTTCCTCATTCCAGCAATAAACTGAGTCACGCAGCGGACCCTACACAACGTCGACATATCTGCTTTTGTATATGCACACGATTTTGACCCTCAACATAAAACACAATTCACTCTCTCAGACATACTGACCAAACTGTACTATTCTGACTCGAAGCCGGTATTCCTTAGGAAAGGAAACTAACATACATCCAATGTGGCTGTCGCTACCAGGAAAGGCTCTAATTTCTTGACATTAAAATGAACGGAATCAAAGCAGTGTCCACAACATTGAAATGATAGAAAAAATAGCTTGCCAAAAACCAAAAAAAAGTTAACCCCCTTTCGGACTTTTATTACTTTCACTCTGACAAAATAATTGCGACCGAAGCAAAATAGAAATCAAAGTCACAGCTCTCAGGAAACACAGTGCAGTAGTTTATAGTTTCATCGTCTACGTCGCTGTCGATAACTTTAGTCTGCGTACGTTGTGGCAGAAACCCACCTGCACAGACCACAGCTTCCAAGTACTGCCATTTATACAAACACTGTGTAACGTCGCGGGGTGGGGGGGGCTTTGCCTCGTTTCTTTTCAAGAAAGCGCACTCACTCAATGTTGGGCCTTTAATCTAGAATGGTAGAAAGGAGGGTGTTTCTTTTTGTTAAAAAAATAGGGAAATTGAATGAAATGCACAGCAGATAGAGTATACATTCCCCCAAACTCAGCCTAATTTACAATACAGTATTGCTTTCATCAAAACCACACGAAGTGGGATTCCCCTCTGGTGGGGCTGTCACTTCACATGTGCTACTCTTTTGAGAACCGCCTCCGAAACCGTCAGTAGGCACATTTAGAAATAAACTCATTTATCTGAGATCAATGAAACTGATAACTATTTATAGTAACTTCAAATTAACCAAAATGATAGATAAATTGTCCCCCCCCCACCCCCCTCCAAATAATACGTGAGTTTTGACTTAAGTATTTTTGTTGAAAAGTTATATTTTTGTCTTGATCTTATATCAAATACCCAATGGGCTACGTTCAATGCAGGCATGGATTAACCCAGGGCACATGTTTTGCTTCAGATCGCCCAACAAAATCTGGTTAAACAAGTACATCATATTGCGTTATTCGGGGAACAAAATGCGTGGGTGCAGAGCTAATAAGGCGAGATAGATTAGAGAGAACTGAACGTTCATTTTCTTACCTGTTTATAGCAATGCATCAATATAGATCTGGGTTTCTATGTTAATAAGAAAAATCAAGACTGCAATAATATGAACCCATTCGTATTTCAACATAAAATCGAATAAACGAGACATTCCCTCTTCCATATTGCTGATGCATTTGGGGCGCTCGCTCTGTTATATTACAGTATCAGACATAAAACACACCAGTATCACATTCTCCGAATGTGTTTCATTGGAAATGCGATAATGTTTACTAACAACTCAAATGAAACTCTTAGTTCCCAGGTTTTTGAAAAAAAAACGTTCTGGTGCAGTGTAACCGAGATTCAGTTTCATATCTTTAAAGATAAGTTACCCACTATGTCAATACGTTGTAGTTAAATGATCCCTACATTGGAAAGCGGCACCACGCCTGCAACATTAAATACCACTTACCACTCAGTCCACAGGCCACGCGTTGAAAACCTCCTAGAAAGGAGGGATCCTGTTCCCATTTATACACAAGCAACAAATGCAGTATCATCCCAAAACCCCAGCTATGTTATATCTAATACAGGAAAACTTTGCGAAACTTCCTATCGATTTAATCTTCGGTGTAGCCCGATGCATTTTATAATAGCCTACCTAGTTAACTGCTGAACCATTCTAAATTAAAAAGCCACACAAAGAATTGTATATATTTTGTAAAATTATATTTACATCAATGTAACCATAAAACAATACATCTTGCGGAGACTGATTAGTCCCATTTAATCCCAGTTAGTGGTTTTACACCAGTACATTAAACCATTCTGAATCGAACAAGTATTCCGAGCAAACAACTGCATGTCAGCTTCAGCAACATAAGAATTATTCACATTGTTTACAACCAGAGCTTTGCTACAAATTTAAAACACTTCAGAGCGTTTAGCACAAAACGCATACAAAAATAGTTTTTTTTTAATTAAAATCTCCAGATTAATCGCCGGGAGTAAACAGGACCACCAGTTTGTGAAGGTTATTGGCGTTTTCACATTTGCCAGTGTCAGTCCGTAAGGCCAGGTATTCATTCACATGCAGACATATTAAAATCGTCCACAAGACTCAAGGCATCGAGACTAGCAAAACGCTAGCATGCAGTGTTTCAATGCGAAATTGCTGTATAAACATCCATCTGCGATTTAAACCACAAACACTAGATAGCGTTTCATTTCAACAAACTCGAATCAAATCCAGTTTCTCTACCCTTATCCTCATTCCGAGTTTCACAACCATTTGATCAGGAGGAAAAAGGATTCAAACGTGAAATGTTTTGAAACTGTCTGGTGTAAGTTGTCTGTGTACATCCTAGATTACTCCGACTTCAGCAGAATGAAGCCTATTACTGGTTATGTTATAGAATAAAAAAAAACACTTTATATAATTTATCACGTACTTCTGAAAATATTAGCGACCTTGAAAACCAAAAGTGCCCAATAAGTTTTTGACCTTTCAAACTGCAACACACATTCAATTTCACATTTTGCTGTGAAGTTTACAAAACATTCGTTTCCGATGGTGTATAAACTAATATCAGCACTTTCAACCTTATGCCGTCCCAACACCCTTCTTTTGTGTTCATTTCAGTACTTAAATAACAATCAAAATACTCAAGCAAATGTCCAAAGTCTTGTTTTACAGTCATGAAAAACACTCCATGAAAGGGAGTTTTGCGAGAGACCAAAACCCCCCACGAAATTCGACGCTTAAAGCATTAATACTATGTACAGTATTCAGAATATGTTAATCATTTGCTTTTAAAAATACAGCATCCCCTTTTTTTACTGTAAACGTCTGAACCCCAACAAGAACAACTGGATTTTTTTTCCAGAGATCTGAAAAGCTTCCCTCGTAGAGGGGGTGGGGGGGGGGGGGGGGGGGACGGGGGGACCGTGACATGAAATGAGAATCTTTTCAAGAGGAGGATGAGGATACAGAATATGTAAACACACAACTTGTAAGAGAGACTTGGACGCGGCGAGTCATAAATACTTGGCGGGGGTACAGTGAGACTGTTTGCGTTGCTGGTAGTGTCAGTGCGGATTGTGGTTTACATTGTCCTGGGCGGACAGATGTTCGGGGGGGTTCCCCCGGGGCACACAGTCCCCACCGTGGAGCCGGCGTTTGCCGGCGCTCTCTCTGTGTTTATCTTTTTCTCTTTCTGCCTCAGGTGGATCTTGGTGTGCCGCTTCCTCTCGTCGCTCCTGGCGAACTTTCTGCCGCAGAACTCGCAGGAGAAGGGCTTCTCTCCGGTGTGGGTGCGGATGTGGGTGGTCAGGTGGTCGCTGCGGCTGAAATTCCTCATGCAGATCCGGCACTGGAAGGGCTTGTGGCCGGTGTGGATCCTGATGTGTCGGGTCAGCTCGTCCGAGCGAGAGAAACGCCGGTCGCAGCCCTCGGCCGGGCACGGGTAGGGTCTCTCGTGGACCGGGGTCTTGCTGGGGCGGTTGGGGTACTTCCTGAGTCTGATCGGCCTGAGCGGTAAGTTCTGTCCACCGTACGTGCTGGAAACCCTCGGCCCTTCCCCCGCGGGGTTGCCCATAGTGAAGTTTCTGATGGTCGAGAGGGGCGTCAGTGGAGGAGGTACCATTCTAATGGGATCCACCGGGCAGGAGAAGGGCTTGCGGTCGGTCCCTGGGTGCAGCTCACGCTGCTGATGATGGTGATGATGATGATGGTGAGGCTGGAAGATCGTGCTGTAGTCCGGGAGCACCGGGAACAGGGTGTTGTCGGCAGCCGGTTTGGGGGAAGGGTAGGACGGGGGAGGGTAGCCAATGTTACAGGTGGACGTGCTGAAGAAAGGTGCGGGGTCCTGGTACAAGTCTCCGCAGCTGGTGGTGTAAGGAGGTGGCGGTGAGTAAATGTGATCCATCTCGTTCTGGCTCTGTGGCATTGTGCAACCGAGAGTGCTGTGTAGAGGGTTGGGAGAAGCGGACGATGAAGAGGAGGAGGAGGAGGATGGTGGGTTGACTCCCAGGATCCCAGCACTCACTATGTTAATGATCCCTTCGGGGCTCCAGTTGGCGGTGGCACACTGGGAATCGATGGAGATCTTGCCCATGTAGGTAAAAGTCCCACTGCGAGGGGGAGGCGGTGGATGGTAAGTGTTGGGATAAGGTAAATCGAGATGTCTCTTTTCGTTCCCCATGTCTATGTTCATCATTCCATCTGCAAAAAAATAAGGCGCAAAAGTATTGGTACAAAGGCTATTCTTTCAATCACTCGGTCCAGTTTCGGATCGATGGACGCTGCGCGGTAGAATCGCTATCAACACGAGTCATTTCCAGAAGTGTCTGACACCCGGAGCACAGGACACTACAAACCTCGAGGTGAACAGTACTGTGATGTTCATCAACACTGTACAAGTCGCTGTGAACTGCACTTAAAAAGGGGACGCGGACAGGGACCCGCGTACAATGAATGGTGTTAAACCAGTCCGCTGTGCTGCAGTCACTGCTGTATCGACATTGTAAGACAGGACACCGAAATAATGAAGTTAAGGGAGGCTTTTTAACATCCCGTTTTCAGATAGACATTCCTCCATTAAACAGATCGCCTTCTAAAACACCAGCCCAGACAAACATTCACCTCGGTCCTCTCCCTGTGCTGTACATTCCGGTCATCTTATCTACAAGTAGCCGACAAGGAGTCAGTCAGTCAGTGATGCTCACTGACAGGTGGTCCTTACCTGTTGGCATCTGCTCGTACAGTCCTAACTCCGGATTAGAGAAAATAGTGACAGACGGGGTCATCTCCTCCACTGGGTACATGCTGTCTGGGAGCTGATGAATGAAACTTCCGAGAGACACCGGGATTTTCTCCAGAGCTTTCGCCGTCATCATTTGTGGACTGTCCGAATACAAAAGTTTGCCCCTTTTATATATATATATATATATATTTACATATATATATACATAGGTCTAAAGCGAGGTGGGTAGTGTAATTATTGGCTGTCGGGACGTGGGGTTTAGTGCGCGTTCTCTTTGCCCCCAGTGTTGGTGTCGCCGATGGTCGCTGGAGGCTGAGAAGCGCAGGGTCCCTGTTGCCTGAGCCTGAGTGTGTGTGGCTGCTCTGTGCTGTCACAGCGCTCTCTCTCTCTGATAATCAATGGCACCTCTCACTCTCTCACGCAGACTTTACTATTTATCCAAACCCACTGAATACCCCGTGACGTAAGAGCCCATACATGGACTCGGAGAGGAAAAGGGAGGGGACCGGTTGCGGTGACGCGTTACACGTTGCGCTCACATCAGATTTCTTCAATGGAGCCCAGAGCAGAGCGTCTCTCCTCCCCGCAGCCATCCAGGACCCGCTGCAGCGATCAGAGGAAGCCTTTGGACTTTGCAACGAGCGAAAGGCCGTGCACAGTGGCATTGATTTCGCTTCGATGCATTTGCACGAGAGGATCAACCTTGTTATGTGTTAACTGGATAGGTTATTGACTCCCCCCCCCCCCCCCCCCATCTCCACCAGAAAGGAGCGCACACACACACACACATGAGGAATTCCGGTAAGTTGCCTGGCCATGTATGGTGAGAGGATCCGGCGAGGGCAACAGGCTGCTCCGCCTTTTGTTTCCATATTTGGAACACATTCCGGAAAATAAAGCCACGGAAACTCACGAAACGATCCGACCAGCTGCAGAGAGAGAGAGAGAGAGAGAGAGAAGAGAGAAAGAAAGAAAAGAGAGAGGGGAAAGAAACATCTGAAAGGTTCACTGAAGTGTGTTAAAAAAAAAGAGAGACGCACCGAGAAAGTAAAACGAGCTGCAGAAACCGCAGTTCAGGAACCTGCTTGAAAACTCAGAGCTCGGTGTGTGTGTGTGTGTGTGTATATATATATATAGATATAAAAAGATTTGCGACGAAACTCGCCTCCTCCTCGGAAAAGCTGTTTGAAATCAACACTGTGATTCATTGTCGAGGCAAATGTTTCAATCCCCACAAAAAAAAAGATGTCTTGAACGATAACTGAAGTACACCAGTTAGTGGGTTTAGATGCGGACAGACGGCTTTAGAATTGGAAAATTCACGAATGTCAGTGAGTTATTTTATACACCTCGTGTTTTCCGGATTGAAGGTGATAACCTGGAGTTCCAACCACTCACTTCACGACCACTCTCACCTGCTCACCTGATACAATTAATGCACTCTCTCTTTTTACAAACTTGGAACTTTTCTTGACTACTGCACAAGTAGTTTAATATTGCAATGAAGGACGTGGTTTTGCTACGAAGCTTCATTCTGGACAACTCTTGTTGTGTTGTGCCCCGTTCCAGGAAGTGTTTCGTCAGGTAAAGTCACACAGTGCTTGTGAGGAGCTTTGCTCGCAAGGTTTCTGAATCTCAACCCCCAGAGCATCACTAATAACATATGACAATCAAAAAAAAAGGATAGAGCTACATCTCTACGTAAACGTATGGCTCACTTGACTTAAAAAAAAACTGTCAGGGTAAATGATCAGGTTCAACTAAGAATTTTGAGCAGGTTCTTACACTGGAACTGCAGATCCGCAGTGCCTGTATAGGCCTGACTGTCCAATCTGCTCTCAACTTTCTCTTAGAAACTTTTCGCTGTCGGATGCATTTCGCTTCTCTCATCTCCAGTACTCCCTCACTCTCTGTAGTCCTTCGCTACTGTATTCCCCTTTCCCCCTCGCTGTGTTCACCCCCCTCCTCCCACCTCACCCCAAGTCTAACCTCCCGTATTCTCTCTTTCATGCCCACTCTCTGTGATCTTCCTCCAAACCCCTCTGATTTTTTAACCCTCTGATTTTCTCTCCTAATTCTTTTTTTCAGGATATTCTCTTTTGCTCCTCTGTATCTCTTGGGTTTTACTTTTTCCACTCTATATTTTCATTTTCCCCTCTGAATGTTTTTATTCTCTCTCTCTCTCATTGTGCATATATATATATATATATACACACACACACACACACAGTATTCTCTTCCTCTTTCATGACCCGCTGTATGTTATTCAGCATGTGGTGTGTGTTGCGGGCTCACACGGCGCCCTCCACCGGTCTGGCACCTCTCATGTTCTCACTTGTAAACAAGCAGTGGAAACCATCGCTTGATACTTTCCGACCCCTGGGATTTCCAACACACTTTTCTTTTTTTTAAAAAAAACACACTGATTTCACACAGGTTCTTTGAAGATAGCAACTTACCCGCTTCATTTCGAAGAGATGTATTGCTGTACCTATCCACCTGTGAGTTAATTGTGATAAGCCACAAGCAATAGGAATTTTAAAATCATGAAACTTTCGACAAATGTGCTCAAAACGCTACCGCAGGGAACCAGCAAACTCCTAAGTTAACTATACGGAAGTTGTACATGTCCATTGCTAACACATCCTTATTTGAAAAAAAGGCTACCAATAATGGAACCTGGATTGGGGTTGAGTTTATTCCATAAACTCTCGTTAGCGCACAGAGAAATAAAAACGTTTCTGCAGCTTTTCTTATTTAACTTTCCTCCGTGGGTTGAGAGTAATTCTATGCAAGTAAGAAGAGGGGGTTGACATTTCATACCAGAACATGGGTTATAATTTCCCTCCATATGGAAAATATTTAGATAAATAAAACACTAGGGGACATTTAGGAAATAGCCACAAAGACATCCGCCATGAATGGGTTTGGGGGGGTGGAGGGGGGGAAGAGAGAGAAAGAGAATGCTTTTACTTTCCGAAGGTCAATCTCTCAATATGGTTCTCGATGAAAAACGCATTGGTGTAAAACTGGAAACGGGTGTGACATTGCACATCGCCTGCTCCAACACGAAGGAAGGGTTTGGTTGAAGTAGAAACTATTGCCAAACAATGTGTATTGTCCTTCACCTCATCCCTTTTCACACTGGGCTTTTCCCTGTACATGTATTCTAAATTTTTCAGGAATAAATTGAAGAGTGTAGAAAAAAGGTTTAATTTTTATCTGTTACGAGTTCCTTTCAATGTACTCGTGTTATTATTACCAACTATGGCAATACTGTTTAGAAAACAGAACACAGTTTGATTATGTAAATTAGTGTTAAAATAACCATCTTTCAAAGGGCATTGTTGCCATGGTGAACCGCGGCCTATGATTTCTACTGTATTTCTACAGTCAATTGCACAATTGGTAATGGGGTGATATAACCCAGTTACATGTGATAAGCCTAATTACTATATGTTAAATAAATAAAAGCATTAAAATCTAACATCAGCACTGAAAACTCTTCCACTGCTGCAAATACGATACCTATCCAGTGCCAGTGCTCCCCGATGAGGCAACTCGTGAACCAAAAATGTCAAGGTACAGAAATGCTCTTTAAACGTTACACTCTCATACACTTGATCAACAGTGTCCATGGACACTCTAAATCAATGTTACTCATTAGCTTAGGTGCAGGTTGAATGATGAGTTCCAAAATGATTGTCACAAATGTGGATCACAAATGTATTAATTTGTCACTTCTCATCTTAATAAATCCTTTATTTTTTTCTATAGATTTTGTGCGTAAAAAAACATTTCGCCCACAAAATATACAGTCAATTCACTTTACAATATATTCTGTGAAGCACTTTGAGACGTCTCAACAACATGATAAGGCGCTATAACAAATGCTAGGATTATTATTTATTCATTTCATGGCAAAAGTGATTATTAGGCCAAACAAAGTGATCTCCCCCAGGAGTGAAGTAGCATATACACCCTGATATTTCATAGGCCACATCAAGTGATAATTTACAGCAGTGAAATAAATAGCATGAAGTAAAATTTGTAACGACTATTTACATGGTCAATTTTAAAAAGATCATGGGTAACTTCCTAAGATGCCTTTCTAACATGGTTTTATCCCAAGAAGGCCATACTCTCGATTAACAAGTTGTCATACTACTAATTGATTGGCTATAAAGCGTGTTGAGATGTCTCGAAGACTTGATGCAGCACTATATCAAATGGAAGGATTATTATCTTTATAAACCAGCTCCAAATACAAGTTCTATTCAGTTCATTAGCTGTTTTGCTCCAGGTGTTTAGATCATTGAATGTCAAATATATGACTAATACAAGTAAGAAGATAATTTACATAGCACCTTTTACGTGGGAAGGACGTGACCCAGGCCGTTCTTTGCTGAGTAGAGACAGAGTTTGGGCGTAGAGGTAAGTGGGGCAAGACCATGAAGGCATTTGAAAATAAGGACAAGAATCTTAAATTCAATCTCCTGAAGGAGGGAGAGCCAGTGGAGCTGAGTGACGTTGGGGTAATGAGTTAAAAACAAACACTGACGAGCTAAAACACATTACAACAGGAATAACTGCTGATGAAAGAGTATTTGCATGACAAACCACAGATGAAGAGCATGCCTAGACAAGTAAATTCATGTTAGTACTGCGATGGGTTAAATGTCTGCTGGGCCAAATGGAATACGCCTGAGAATCCATAAGGAAATGAGAGTAAACAGGCAAGACATTTTGTTGGAAGGGAGCTCTATAAACACAAACGCTGAACGGGACTGAAAGATAGTAAATATTATCTCAATGTTGAAAGAGGAGCAAGACATGAACCCGGATAATGATAGATATGATGCCACCTGTACAGCAAAACTGGGTAGTATAGCTTCAGCAGCAATACATCAAACCTTACTAATCTGCCTCAATTCATTCAATATCCTTTATTCTCAGTTAAGTAGAGAATAAAGGTTATTAATTTAATTTCCAAAAGACATTATCTAAGACGTATTATATCCAATAGATGGTTGCACCCGTGGATCTTTCAAAGAAGGTTAAGACTCATGGAATTAAATAGGAAATTATCTTCTATTGAACACTGTCCTGATAATAAAAAAGAAAAATGACAAATTGAATGTTGAGTGGGAAAGAATGACAAACATAATTTTAAAGGATTCTCTTCTGGGACCTGCTATTCACTATTTATAGATTATTTGGAAGATGGTGGTCAGTCTGGCTCATTTGGTAGCACTCTCACCTCTGGGTCGGGGGCTGTGCATGTAATTCCTTAGTCAAGACTTTTATAGTCTAGATTAACAATCCAATGGTAGAGGTTTGTTACATTGGTATATATAGGTACTGTCCTGTGGATGAAATGTTAAACCATAATCACAACTGACTT